ACGGAGGTTGAGTATGGACGGCGGCTTCAACTAAAAAGAGTCGCATCCAATGTACAATTACTAGTTAATATCACAAGCTTTACAAAACTTGGACAAGGGCGAAAAAGGGGAAGAGCAGCAGTCTTAGAATCAATGAACAACCAGTTTCTTCCTGGCTGTCCATTTCTTTCTGGTGGCTTCCAATGCTTCCAACTTCTGTCTTGAAAGTTCTTGGAACCAAAGTTGATACTGTGATTCAATCGCTTCGAGTTCATGCTTTAGCTCATGATCGATGTCTTTGTCGGTTGTAGACAAAGAGGATTCGCTGCTTGTCAAGCTCAAAGCATTAGGTGTTCCCCAAAGGTTTGGGATTGTAGAGTGAGAAGAGTTCTTTGAGATTCCACTCAGTACAATGCTTTCTGCAGCACAGCAGTTTGTAGCCTGCAATTTACAACATTTCCAGAATGTATCTGCCAACTGCATTTCTAAGTTGGACCAACTCAAACCCTTATCACTCCCATCAGCATCAGAATCCAAACAATATTCATTTTTCATGCAAGCATCTTCAGCGGCTGTATCAGACTCCGACGGGTCTTGCCAGTCTTGATCTTCCAAGCTAGTCAAACTAGGAGAAGAATTATACTCACCAACAAAAACAGCATTATCACCATTGTTAAACATGAAGCTTCCATTGGCTGTCTCAAAATCTTCTCTTTGGATAGAACCAAGCGGAATCAAGTTCTCTTGATTGGAAACCAATTCAGAGGGAGCATTGGTTTGGACGGGACCCTGTGCGTTGTGTTGATCAAAAACCATTTCAGAGCGAGGACTGCTTAGCACAGGAAAATGACTATGATTATATCCTTCATTTGAGGGCTTACACTGAGGTAATAGCTTCATTATCAAGTAATCAATAAGCTCAGCTATGAAGGCTACATCATGATCTGATAGCTCCAAATTTTCAACCATCTCTGAGGCCACAGAAACTGCAGTATCCGTCTCAAGGTAGAAGAGGAAATGTATATTCCTTACCTGACCTGCAAAATAATAGAAACAGACAACTAGGTTATTGCAATATAGAAGTTGAACTATCTGGTGTCAATTCAATACTTGCAACATGGAAGCTTGTTAAAATTAGGCCAGATGTTACACCAAAACTACATCTTTGGTATCTTTCCCATGTGAAACAAAAAAGAAAAAACAAAAAAAACAGACAGAGAAGATAATCACCACAAGAATCAGCAATACGTAAGATTAGTGACACCGAGATATCATCATTTTTGGTCCCTTTCAATCTAAACTCATTGTTTTTATATGTCCGCCGAACTTCAAGAAGTGGACAAAGTGAACTTCCATGGCTGTTTTCAGCACAGTTACTCACAGACACTTTTTTGCAGTCAGCCTCCAAGTCCATAGATGAAGGACCAGACTTTGGCTTATCTATAGCCATTGGAGATTTATTAGGTGAGTTTAAGGGACTAAGGGTTGGATCCTTGGAACACTCGACTTGCAGAAATGGGTCTTTAAGAAGGTCCTCTGCGGACAATCTCTCAGACGCACGAACAAGACATTTGTTGATAAACTCCTTAATTTGGGGATCACTCACCCTGTTAAGGGAATTAGGTTTGATTCCCTGAAATGAAATGCATCAGTGTAGAGAAGAAAAGCAATGCCATTTCAGTTATTCAGGTTACAAGCATGGAATTGTAAGGAATAATTTCAACTGTCTCTATACTTACAGAGGTAACTTTCTTGTAAATTTGGGCTGGATTTTTGCATTCACTATATGGGTACTCAAAAGTAACCATTTCCAACATGCACATCCCAAAAGAATAGACATCTACGAGTTCATTGTATTCCTCTTCATATAGTTCTGGAGCCATGAACTCAGGGGTCCCTTTTACAAGAAAAAATTTACAAAGAAAGCTTATTTCAGCACTCCACATACTGTTAACATGATGAAAATTTCAAAACATCAATATTCAAGAAAAGTAATGGCACCAATAACACTTCGAGCAGTTGGTTGCTGCATAACAGTTGCCAAACCAAGATCTCCAATCTTGACTTCTCCATGGTTCCCGTTTACAAAGATGTTGTCACATTTCAAGTCTCTGTGAATAATAGGCGGCTTGTGACCGTGAAGATATACCAGACCTTGAAGAATCTGTCGAGCCCAACCTTTAATTGCTTTCATGTCAACATATCTATGCTTCTTACGGTATCTGTTAGTGACAAGCATACAAGAGTTTCAGGTGTGCATAATTGAACAATACAACATAAAGGGAAGGAAGGTGGATAGGTGTAAGAGAGCATACTGTCTAAGGTTTCCAGATGTGAACAGCTCAGTAATAATGTTAACAGTTTTCTTCTTATCATCAATCCAAGAATTATAGAACTTAATGATGTTTTCATGGTTCAGAGACTTCAATAGGTTTACTTCGGAGTACAACTTCTCAACATCATCTGCAGATCTCAAGAGTTCATCAATCCTGACTTGGTTCCAAGCAACTTCTATTCCATCAACTTCATCAAAGCCCCTATAACTGAGAGAAAGAGAGAAAAAACATTAATTAGCTTGCTTTCACTACTTCAAGAATCATGAAATATTATTGGAGGCTAAACTTGTTAAAGAGACATCTACCCATAACAGATTAAGTTAATCCTGTGCAAAAATTAGAAGACAAGGAAGTGTGAACAAAATATAATTAAATATATAATAGAAGGGGAAATTAGAAAAGAAAATCAGGTATCAGGATCATACACAGTCTTGAAAGCACCCTTGCCCAAGATTTCATTGTACTGTGGGGAAAAAGAAAAGCAAAACAATAAATAAAACAGTCAATAATTTAAAAAAGAAAAAGAAAAAGAAAAAAGAAGATGATTCATGGAAGCAGAATCAACTCTTCATTCACAGAATGAGATAATTTTTAAGAATCATTCAGAGACAGATCAGACAAATCCAATTTATTAAATCCAATAATCCACATGATAATGGAAATGCTGCACAAGAATAACATAATTACTACATGCCAATTACTTTTGTCCGAATGGAAAATAATGGATTGGGAGCTATTGCATAGCATTGATGCAATGCAGTAGCAGAAGACATTCAAATTGTATTTAAAGCAAACACACAATGACATGCAAAACACATTGAATCCTCCTCAAAAGCACATAAACGAGGTGGTACCCTAAGATAGCGGCCAGTAGGATCTTTCTCTACAAAGTCTTCCTCAAAATCTTGAGTGTCCCTTGTTTTGAATCCATTGCTCTCAGGCAATGCCAACACAGAATCAGAATCCATTCTGAAAAAATGCAAGGTTCCAAAAATAAAAGAAAACCAGGCAGGGATATACTTTGTTGTTTGTTTTCTGTTTGTGTATTTTGATTTCTTCTTCCTTTCTTTTTTCTGTTATAACTCAAAAATCGAGGGGTCAAAGGTGTTGCTGCCCTGCTTCAAGAGGTATGAATGAACATGAACAACCACCTTGAGAGTAAGCTTTGGAATCGATATTTGTGAAGAAGTCGAATGCCGATCGCAACATGA